CATAGCCTCTCCTCATAGGGCCTGCCCTGCTGCCCCCCAAGCAGGTGAGGGGCCCTCCTCTGGACCCTCTCAATGCTGTCCACATCCCTCCTGAAGTGTGGCGCCCAGAACTGGATGCAATACTCCAACTGTGGCCTGACCAATGTCGCAGAGACGGGGAGGATCACCTCCCTGGACCAGCTCGTGATGCATCTATGGATGCATGACAAAGTGCAGTGCGATTAGCCTTCCTGACCGCATCTCCACATAGGCAGCCCATGTTCATTTTGGAATCAATAGTAATTCCAAGATCCTTCTCTGCTTCTGTGCTGACGAGAAGGGAGGTCCCCAGCCTGTAGGTATGCTGCTGGTTCTTCCTCCTTAAGTGCAACACCTTGCACTTGTCTGTATTGATACCCATCCTCAAAAGGTGTTTTATCTTGCTACATACCAAAGTCATTTCAAGCAGAATCCACCACTGAGCATGCAAACAGCAATGCCATTAAAGCAGAATATGCTGCTAAACATACAAACAGCAATGCCATCAAAATGGTGCAAAAGGGCATTTAAGCCACTTCAAAGGTCAATTTTGGGGTGTGTACAAAGGCCCCTAGTGTGTGTAAACACAGATGTGGCCCTCCAAAATTAACAAGTTTAAAGTTTATAAACCTATTTAATTGAATGAGGATTAAAACTCGGGGTGTATACAGGTGCCCAAGAAGAGTATAAGTGCCAATAGAGAATGCTAATAATATTTTGCTTCTGAATCTCGCTGTCCATCAGCAGACCTTAAAGTACCTTCCAATGGAGATCCAATGGTGTATCTCCAATAGAGATAACAGATCACTCCTGGGTTACAGATAGGGAGACTGAGGCACTGAGGTGCCCTTCATTTCAGAGCAGGTTGAATAGCAGAGCCAGAAAGAACCAGTGGACCAAGCTGCCTTCACAGGCATCAAGCCAGCAGCTCCCCTTGTCTTGCCACAGGCCTCTTTTTTATCCATCTGTTAAGCAGCACAGCAGAGCTGGCTGAAGGACAAAGACACAGCAAGGACCTGAAAGAAAGTCCTCCCATGTGGGACATATGTCCAAGTCACTTCATTTTTCAACCTACCCACTTTTAACATGCGTTTTAAAAAAACATGTTCACAACAAGGGAGCAATAATAAAGTTCGCAAGTACTGGCTCTACTGCTAATAACTGACTGAAGGTTGTTGGAAAAGCCAAGATAAAGATGTTTGAGTAGTGATGTCACTCCATAGATACAATTGCTTTGGAGGATATTCAGTTTTCTTTGGGGCGCCTGTTCATTTTAGGAGATTTGTTGGTCTTTGACTGATGGCCAGAGTTTTATGAGCAGATTTGAAGGAAGATGTTAACTATGAGCTTTTCCCTGCAAGGAGTAAGATGATCGTTTTAAGGTACAAGTTGTCTTTTCCTGCTCAGACTGAAGAGCTACCTTTGCATCTAAGAGGAGGAACTGTATTCGCAAAAATATAAGTACCAGACACTTTTAGGTAATTTAACTACTTATTTACATTAAAAAGTAAAAACAAAAGAAACAAAACACCTAGGTTAAGACTATAACCCGCACAGGCAAGTTAGGAAATCCCTGAATTAAGTGTCTGTACAACAGTAATTCAGCTTCTCCTGAGCTTTTGATTGCATGATTATAAAACAGTTTTTGTCAAAGTCCCCACCTTCATTTGATGTGCAGGATAGACAGACTTTAATGAGCAGCTATTTGATTTTTTCTTATTGTCCTCATAAGTCACTATGAGGCCTTTGGTCTGATTTAGTGTACATAATTTAAACCTTGCACTGAATACAGAATGATTAATTTCCTCATGGGTCACTCCTCACTGTAGTATGTGCTTCAGAAACATTAATGAATTTAGCTTCACAACACCCAGCACTGTGAGGTTATGCAGTAGTGTTGCTCATTTGACCTAGTGTTTAACTCTTCTTCAGGGCCTCAAAAGGTTGCTTCCATTTGGATAGGAAATATCGATGGTGTGAGTCTCTGATGCACCTTTAGTCCTTTCCAAATGATCAAAAAGTCCTGTTCTCTTAAGTGCAATTGAAAAAAAGAAAACCAAACAGGTTCCTGGTTCAGAGATCCCCACGTCTTCCATTCCAGGGAGCTCTGTGTCCAAATAGCTCAGCTGTGTGTCCTCTTAGGATCTCCGAGCAGCTTTGTTGAGCTTTCTGCCTCTGATGCTCACAGGCAGCAAAGCCAGCAGGATAGCTCCTGCATTTACACGTAGGGAATCTCCTTGACCTGGCACATGCCTTAGGAAGCCCCATCATTGTCTGAAACTGTCTCTACCACATAAGAAGGCTTAATTACTCCTTTCATTGAATTCACAGCAATTAATTCCAGTAATACTAACATAAACTAAAAATTAAACAACACATCTATCAAATCCAGGTCAAATCAACATGCTAGCCTTAATATTGGATTGGCATTAAGTCATCAAATGCATTAAATCAGAGTAATACTAAAAAAATTCTTTCCTTATAGCCGTTCTAAGTGGCTGTTTGGTTATAAGTCCCAACTAGAGAATTTCCCTCAAGTCAACCAAATGTATAACTTGGAACCGACTAAATATTTTAATACTGAAATCAAACTTTTATCTCATGTCTGAGCCACAGCCTCAGAGACAATTGCAGGGTTTCCTCTTTAGATCTGTTTTTTGTGTGGTGTGTAACTGTGACAGGGGGCCTCCTGGGGCCGAACTCTGTGGCCCGCCCACCTGTCTCTGGGCAACCGCCCGCTTATCTCGCCCGCCACGCCTTTGATGATAATTGATTCGTATATCGATGTCAATTAAGCGGGAGGCTGCCCATTGTAGTGCCCCGATGCCAGGGGGCGCTCTGCGGCTCCGACCTCCCCTAATACCACAGCCCAAGCCTCGCAGATGGCATCTCGGTGTTAACACTATCACCGGCCCCACGCTGGGCCCCAGAATCATCCTATACGACCCCACTATGATCTCTCCGGATCAGGCGGCCTCTCCGCCTTCATCTGGGCTACCTAGCCCCCCTGAAGCTTAGTTCCCCTCTCGGGTGTGGTTCCCCCGGGACCTTCGGCTACCTGGCCCTGGCCCACCTCCAGGCCAGTCGGGACCCCAGGCCTCCGGCTCTTGGGGGTCCCTCGCGGTGGGCCTCCGGCCCTTTTGACCCTCTCTGGTCCTGGCCCCAGCATGGGCCAGTCAAGGGTACTCTCCCCTTC